CTGAAAGTGGTTGAAAGTGGCTTTCTATTTCGAATGTTTTGTTTGAATTTGTTCAAATTAAATTTGAACATAAAATTTGAATATTGGTTCGATTATAGAACAATCGTAAACGTTCCAGAAACGTTGAAAATAGTTTTGACTGGACGTGAACAGGAGACGTTCAGAAATAGAATCGGGACCAGGTCTCTAATTAGTCTGGAAACGGGGGACCTAATTCTTGCATTCTGTGAAAACGGATAAGATTGGCTATAATGTAATTATCTTAATCTTCACTATCGTTACTTTTTAAAAACCCAGCAAAGCAGGTCCTTGCAGCTAGATTCTAGATTACTTAGAAAAACAGTCTTTTATATATATATATAAAAAAAACTATATTACATACAAATGTATGAACAAATAAAAACCCAGCACAGCGGGTCCTTGCAGCTAGTTTTTTAATATAATCTCATAACACACTGCCATACACATTTAACTTTGATCTAATGTGTCTTAGTATTTCTTAAACATAAGTATTTTTTGCCAGGAAAGTTTATGCAACTTGTTGCTGAAATTTTTATTTAAAGATAGATTTAGTAAAAGAATAAGATTAACTTGTGAAATAATGTGATAGCTCAATTTTGATAGAATTAATATGATTTTATGCTTAGTTAAGAATCTGCAAAACTTTAAAAGGCAACTAAATCAATTTTTCTACATAGAAATAATATATTTTCTTCTCAAATTTGAACAATTTACCAATCTCTAAGTTAAATTTCTTCATATACTTCTTCATTTTTATTTTTAAATAAGTATTGAGATTTACTTATTTTTCTTCTTACAAAAATTAAAATTTATTCCATTTGGTTTTAAAGTTTGTATTTGATATGTATTTATGTTATAACTGAAACTTTATCTGATGAAAAAAAAAGGAACAATAATGAAACAAAAAGTAATAAAAACATAAACAAATGCATATATTTTTTTTATGTTTAAATTTATAAAATTATAAACAAAACAAATTTAAACTGTTTTCAAATTCCTAATAGATTAAAAAAAATCTTCAACCTCATAAATTATTTAAAAATTTTTCACAATACATTTACTTCAAAATAAATCAAATTGATTGACTGTTAAACCACCTGTGTCATATAAAATAGTCAATAGAGCAAAAATTGACTAAAATAATTAATAATAACTAAATCTAATTGTAAGATCTAATTAATAATAATTAAATCTTACAATTTCAGAAGAAACATTCTGAAAATATATAAGATATATTTCCATCTAAATAAAATAATTATATCAGTTATTTAAATAAATAGTATTAAACGAAATGATTGCTGGATTGAATTGGACTAAATTACCGCTACTATTAATACTTAAATACTGAGTATATTTGGCCCTAGAGATAGGCATTAGACTCATTCTTATTAAATTTAATAATCATATGGTGATTAAATTGATATTTATTAAATAATTTAGAAAATTGTGGAAGAAAAGAATTGGCCTGGAGTGGAACTCAAACCTGCAACAGCTGCTTACTATCCAGATGCATTATCAGTTAACTACCTGGACTTCCATTTGATCCTTCACTTCCCAGACACATTTAACTAGATATAACCATACTATTACTCATGGCACCAACTGGAGATGACTAGTGCACATGGCAAGTCACGCTTGTGGTGACTAGTATGGTTATATCTAAATTAAATATGTCTGGAAGTGAAGGAACAGATGGAGGTCCAAGTAGTGTAACTGACAATGCATCTGCATATTAAGCAATTGTTGCATATTCAAGACCTTCTCCAGGCCAATTCTTTTCTTCCAGAATTTTCTAAATTATTTAAATATTAATTTAATTATAATTATTAAATTTAATAAGAATGAGTCTAATGCCTACCTCTAATGGCAAATTTACTCAGTATTTAATTATTAATAGTAGTGTTAATGTAGCTCAATCCAATCCAGCAATGTTTGGCTTTAATATAATTATTGAGCTTTGAGATGTTTATATACATAAAAAGTATTAAGTTATTCTATAAGNTATTTTCTGAAAGTATAAAAACAATTTTAAAAATTCTATAATTAAAATTAGAAAATTCTTGAGAATTTCATAATCCTGCATCTACAGGTGTGTAGGAACACTACAGGTAATTAAACGATCCAAAACTGCAGTTTAATTATGTTTATTTTGGTTGATTATAAATATGCATTTCGAGCCAACTTAATTTTACAGCCCCTCATCAGTAATTTGTATTGAATCAACTGTCACCTTAAACGAATCAAAGTACGTGGACACAATTTCACCAATACATACAGCAAATGACTGATATAGTGCATCAATTTATCAAATGCATCTAGTTATGTATGTAATCAACTAAAATGAACATAATTAAGCCGTAGTTTTGGATCACTGAATTACCGGTAGCATTCCTATACACCTGCAGATGCAAGATTATGCAATTCTCAAGAATTTTCTAATTGGAATATAGCTGGTATCCCAACAAGAAAGGAAATTCTATAATTACTTTTGAATTCTTATTTTTAACAGCAGATTGTGCTCTGAGTTTATAATTTTCAAACTCCTCTTTTAATTGCTGCAATTCTTCTTGGCATTTCACATGAAGATCTATTTGATTGCCATCATCTTGAGAAAAAAATGCTGGAATTAAAAGTATTCTATTACTTATATTATTATATATTTGTAAATCATAAAGCAGCATTTCAAATAATCTAAAATATACAATTTATTAATAATTAATTATTTAAGAATAACTATTAATTTAGATTATAATTTAAGCTAAAAATTTAAATCAATAAACTATAATTGCTTATAAATAAGTGTTTACAAATTAACTATCAGTTGGTTATAGTCTTGTGTTGTGGTTGTCATAAATTAATATCACAATAATATTAAAAGACTTATAATTTGAATTTCTAGATTACAGTAGTAATAAAAATCAATAAAAGTAAGTTCATACCTCCTAAATCAATTGGTCTTTCTGATCTTTGGTTAGCTACTTTTAATAATTTTTTCAATTTAATTATTTTCTTCATTAAAGTTTGAACATCCAAATTTGAATCATCATCAGTTTCTAATGAATTTTCAATTTCTCCAGCAATTGTTCTTGTTAGGGCAACTTTTTCAGAATCAAGTTGCATAATACGTTCCTATATAAAAATTTCTATTTTATAAAGTTTGAAACTGTTATGAAAAAATAATGACAAAAATTTTAACCTTTAATTTTTGAATTGCTGTCTGGTCTTGCTGCTGAAGCCTGTCATAATTTCCTACCATTTGGGATAATTCTGACAAACGAGCTTCTAAATTTGCAATTCGTTCTTCACTAACTACTGCCAAATTTCTTAATTTATCTTCAGCTTCATTGGCACGTTTCTGCTCTTGTTCCACAGCCCTATTATGCTGTGTCTAAGTTAAGAAAATATATATAAATTTAATAAAATAAGCATTTAATATAATTAAATCATTAAACATATTTAAAGTGATTTTGTGTGAGAAAATTATAAACTCAGAGCACAATCTGCTGTTAAAAATAATATTTCATAAGTCATCTTGAATATGAACCTTTTCTACAGTATGACTCCCCTATTGGGGCTCACATGCAACGTTGCCTCTCCCAGTATATACATAAGTGTTTATTACTCTGTATTTAATATTTATTTATTTTTTTTTATTCCAAATTAAATGATACTGGTAAAGTTTGAAAATATGAAGCAAAAATACAAATACAGTAAGACCCCACTTAATGCTGATCTGATATAATGCCATTTGCTTGAAAAAAATGCTCAAAATTTACATTGATTTAAATTATCATGGCATCTTCTTGATTTGTACTACGATTATTTATGAACACAAACCAATCAGAAAAATGTGGCAAAAAGGTGTACTTTCTTTAAATCTATGTTTGCTTGGTGCAATTTTGGAAAAAGTATATCATCATGGATGCCATAGGGAATATCGACTTGGCTTGGCAAGAATTAAGCAATAAATGCACAAACGGAGTGTGGAAGAAGTTATGGCTGAAGGAATTCAAGAATTCTCAACAAGAAGAGCCTATTGTTGTATCATTAGGTTGATCAAACTCAACCTAATCGATACAGCAGGACTAGATGTAGACAAACAGGATATTGAGGAGTTACTGCAGGTTTCTGGTGAGTGTCTTATCAAAGACTTTCAAGAACTGGCAGAATAAGGAATCCATGTGAAACTGGAAAAGTGATTCTGAAAATGAAGAACCCAAAAAATTTCTCTACAGATTTCCTTAGTAAAAGTTTGGTAATGATAACCGAAATCATTGTTCAAATTGTAGCAATTGATCCAGATTTTGAAAGGAGTGCAAAAGCAAAACAAGGTGTTTTGGATGTGATCTTCTGCTACCAACATTTTCTTAAGGAAAGAAAAAAAGCAACAAATGAAACTTTATGACTTTATTGCAAAAAAACAAGAATTTCAGAAAAGTCAGGACCTTCATCACAAAAAATGAACTATTAATATAGAAAAAATGGACTAATTAATATATTATTATACATTTCTGTGTGCATATGTTTGTGTTTTATTTAACATATATTATTTTACAAATTAATATAAAAATAACTTAAAATTAAAGTAAAATTTTTTTATTTTCGGTCATGTGTTCCCCCTATCCCTATTTACTCTACGTTAAAATGATCTCATTTAATGCTATTTCGTTTAGTGCTTTGTCGTCTAGGAACGCATCCCCCACGTTAAGCAGGGTTTTATTGTTACCTACCTTTATTGGCAAATAAAATGGGTAATATCTGTACTGTACATAGTGTACAATCAGGAATTTATTCTTTCTGAATAAAGTTATAATAATGTAAGTTAAAAAATGTTTTCCATATTTTCACAAACTGTAAACATCAATGTAAAATTTGAGCTTGTTTTGAATTGCATAGAACGATCGATGTTTGGTTCTGACTCTGTCAATCCCAAGGTCAAAGCTATGGCTTTCACTTGAGTTACAAGGCCACTATTCTTCCCCGCCATAGCTGCAGCACCATTGGTGCATAAACCTACACAATCAATCCAAATCAAGCCTTCAGCACAGACAAATTTATTAAATAAGCAAATATATCTTCACTTGAAGTTGTTGTTGGGATCATTTTACAAAACACTAACTCTTCTATTATACTAGTAGCTCGGGAGGCCCCCTAGTGGGCGTTCTTTACAAATTTCCATGAGGCACGGTTCCTTTGACTTTTTTGTTCCTATCAATATGCTCTACAGCTCTGTTAAAGTCCAAATGGTAAGATTTACCCTCCAAATGAAGAGGTGGCGACCCCCCAAACCGTAGACCCCTGTACTAACAACAAAGTCAAAGGAACCATACCCCTACTCGCGACCCTTCGAGAGATATAAGCCCCTGAAATAATAAATTCCTATTACAAATATACTGAATTATTTATATTGTTATATTGACCAAATAATAATTTATTGGCCAAATGAATAATAAAAATTTATATTGTTAATTTAAATAAGAATTAAAATTGTTAATTTGAATGTTTGAAATATGACACATGGTAGTGTCCATTATCAAACGGTTACGGGACAGACACGCATTGAATGGGTTATATATATAGATCTCCTTCCATAGCATATCTCATGTAACAAATAAGCTGAGCCTGTGATGAAATAGCAGTTGATTCATTGAATTGCAATGTAAATCTTTGACTTGTTGAATTAACTGCATTTTCAAATCCATAGCCAAGTCATCAATTTGCTGTGAAACTATATTATTTGACAGTGGAATAGTTTGTAATGCTTTTACTGTTCCCTCTCCATTCATGTGACACATTTTTAAAGCTATCAGAAGCAACAAATTCTCAGCAACTGTACAATTTCTTACATTTAGCAATTTTCATAGTACATAAGCTTTTAATGTTTTCTGCAATACCATAGCTTCTTTTGACATTACTATCTTCTGCCATTTCAATTCCATCTCTTTTTGAACAAAAAACTCACAATCCTTGTGTACATAATTTTCAAGCATTGTTTCCAGATATCTTTTAAGCTTTGCAAGTTTTTAAGGCTGTCATTGGCAAGAACTTAAAAACAAATGACACTCAGGCTGTTGAATGCTGGATTTGCTATGAAAACAAGATAATCTGAACTTGATATAACTTATATCATATTGTCCGCACTTTTTCTTTCCTTTATCATGGACCATACTTGAATTATCCTACTATTATTAGGTTCACTTTGGTCTGCAGATTCTTCACTACTCATAGTTCTCTTCAAATAGTGAACTAAATATCAAGACAATTGGTCTAGTTTAGTTAGCAGATTAAGTAAAATACATAACGACAGTCCCAACAAGCATTATTTATTCAATGAAGAAAACAAATAAGAGAGTGATGGAAAAACATCATGTGCTTGGGAAGAACTATCACATTGTGTTTGTCTGTTTTTATCCACATACACTCACTAGTCAGTCATAAACTGTCACCAGTGGCCAAGTGGTTCCATTCCCTCAACACTGGGAGTTCAGTCGTGGGTTTGCACCTCACCAGGACAGGCTGGCCACATGGAGTTTTCTCCATGTCTGTAATGCCTGAATACCCTTACAAAGACCTCCCGGAAGGCATTCCCCCTAGGCAGATCGCCCAAGTGTTGCGTTGCCATAAACAAACAAACAAAAACTGAATAGCATTGCGTGCATCACCAGTTGGGAATCACTGAACTAGATGACAATTATCATTTTTCAGATATTTATTGTAATACAGATCTGTATGCTAGTTATTTAGCATTTTGGACCACCACTCCTCTCCAGCAGAAAGTTACAAAACCTTTCTCCATGAGATCCAATACAGTTGTTTTGTACATAAGCATGTAAAAAGTCCAGCTCGAATTATTACATCCAATCTTCTATATATATACTAGTAGTCCGGGCACCCCCTAGTGGGCATTCTTTATAAATTCCCACGAGGCACGGTTCCTTTGACTTTTTTGTTCCTATCAATATGCTCTACAGCTCTGTTAAAGTCCCAATCGCATCATACAGATCTATATTTCTATCTATTAAACATTCTATAAAACTTTAAAATAGTTTAATTTGTTTATTCACCTTTGGTTGTAAACCTCGATTTTAAATGTATCCTCCATTTTTTTAACAAATTTCCTGTGAGTCAATGCGTGACGTTCACTGACTTGTGAGTCACGGGATGTTGTAAACGTGCGGCGCAAGTTTAATCAAGGCATATAATAATTATTTATACCATTCCGATTAATAAAATAATAAATTAAATAAATAATAAATATAAATAATAAATAATAAATTCATATCAATAATAAATTCCTATTACAAATAAAAATAATTTATTGTTAATTTAAAATCATCACTAGGGTGCCTCTAGTGCCCGTTTTTGGCATACNATGAACATTTTAGTAAATTAAAATTTGTTTATAAATATTACTTTTGCTTATTTTTAATCCACTAATAAATAATAATAATTTTTAATAAGTCTATTTTCAGTTATTTTGTTACAATAGTTTAATCCTTTGCATGTGTGCCAATTTTTTGATTCTTCCTCTGTTAAATGTTTAAATTATGTCTGGTGAATGTCTGAAAAATGATAATTCTGATTTTCATATATAATTACATATCTGTTTACTTTACAAAAAGATCTATAAATTTTTTATAGAAAATTCTGTTTTATGTATAATTTAATTCATGTGCAATGTGTAGTTTTTGCAGAAAAGTGAAATATAGGGACATACACGTCCATTTTTATATATATATATATATATATAATATAATTACATGTCCTGACTGAGACTGACTGATTCATCATCACCCAGAGCAAACCACTGAACCTAGAGGTGAAATTTGGTACACAGTTAGGGTACGTCATGAAAATGCACACTAAGAAGGGATTTTTGGAAATTTCCCTGTGGGTGAAGAGGGAAAGGATTAAGGCTTAAAAAGTCTTAACCCCAAAAGACAGTACCAAAAGCGTGGTTTACAAAGAGGTACTGGAGTAACTGAAACTCTATTTTTCAGTAAATATTTATACTTTAGAAATTTTCAGATAACATCATTTATGTTTTGAAAAAAAAATTGAACTCAGATTTATCATATCTCAGAATCCTATAATATTTGAAACTTGAATTAGTATCAAAACTAAAAATAAAATTAAATTATACATAAAACAGAATTTTCTATAAAAAATTTATAGATCTTTTTGTAAAGTAAACAGATATGTAATTATATATGAAAATCAGAATTATCATTTTTCAGACATTCACCAGACATAATTTAAACATTTAACAGAGGAAGAATCAAAAAATTGGCACACATGCAAAGGATTAAACTATTGTAACAAAATAACTGAAAATAGACTTATTAAAAATTATTATTATTTATTAGTGGATTAAAAATAAGCAAAAGTAATATTTATAAACAAATTTTAATTTACTAAAATGTTCATGATTTAATATAAATATATTATTTGATTAAATTTAGTAGTAAGTAAACTTTGATATGATAGAAATATAAATTAAATATTTTAATGTATATAAATTTTGGCAGGCATATATGGTATATTTTTTTAAAGACAAATTTGAGACCATGCTTGTTGCCAGACTGCATAGATTTAAATTTATATTGTCATGGAAGCAATATTCTAAATGTTAACAAAATGGACCAGCTTAATAAAGAGCAAAGAATTGTAGTTGAGTTTTACAAACAATATGAGAAAAGGGAAAGAAATTTCACAGTTAAGCATTTTGTAGACAGTTTGGCAATGCAGTAATAGCAATAAGGTCAGTTTACAGCATCATAGAAAGACTGGAAAGTGGTATGATTGTTACTAGATGTCCAAGGAGTGGGTGAAAGATAATTAAAATGACAGATAACAAAAGGAAGTCTTGGAAAAAAGAGGTGATTGGAAGAGTTGGGCAGTCACTGAGAAAACTTGGAAGAAAATTCAAAATATCTCATCAGTATATTAAAAACATTCTAGTGAAGCAAAATGTTCCTTTGGATAACAAAGGAACAAAATTTGAATCACAAAGAATTCTTCTGTAAAAAAATGCATAGGGCAGTTTCAAGGCTTCAAAATGTACTGACATTGTTATGAATAATAAGTCATATTTTACCTTTGATGGAAGTGACTGAACTGGGAACAACACATACTATTGTAAGAATGGGTTGAGGTTGAATCATGGGTAAAATTTAAATACCACACAAAATTTCCTCAAAGTGTTGGTTTGAGTAGAAATCAGTCAAAAAGAAAGATGTGAAAAATTCATAGTATCCTCTTGCCTCTGCATCAACAGTGTATGTAAAAAGAGTATTAAGAAGAGGTTGATCCCATTCCTCAAGAAATTCCACTCAGATGACCTGTGTGTCTTCTGGCCAGACCTTGCAAGTGTGCATTACACAACAGATGCAGTTTCCATGTTAGAGAAATATGCTAATTCCATTTCATCAGCAAACAGAACAATGTTGCAGATGTTCCTCTGCTACAACCAATTGAATGATTCTGGCATTAATAGAAACAAAGGTATACAAAAATGGATAGTCTGCTAAAAATGAAGCAGAACTGAAACACTACATCAAGTTCAAACTCTGCCAATTTAATTCAGAACACTTTTGAATTCTGACAGCTGGCATCAAAAATAAAATAAGAAAAACTGTTGACTGTGCTGTTGACCAGATTCCATAATTTAGAGTCAGAAGAAACTAATTTGGTCAATTTTTTGTTCCTGGATAATCATATTGTAAAAATAAAGACATTTGATTTCTGTGCAGACTTTTTGTTTACACAGTCTTATATTGAAATTTTCTTATCATTAAAATGACTGTAATAATTCTGAACTTTTTTTTATTTATGAGTCTGTTTCCGGTTTCTGATAAATACTATTAAATTTGGATTCCTCATTATTTATATCTGATTTTTAAATTTATTAATAACTTTTTTTTTAAGATTTAATTATTAAATCTAAATTTAATTATAACTTAAAAATAAAATAAAGTGAGGTTGAGGTTGTAATACTTTTAAATCTGCCATTTCTTGTCTTAATTCAATGAGAATAGGAGAAGGTTCATTCACTTTAATTTCTGATGCTTTCAATCTGTCATTTAATTCTGATAAATGGTGTTTGAGTTCTATTATACGTTTTTCATATTCTTCAATCCTTTTATCTGTTGTTTTAGATTTTTCAGCAAGACGTTCAGCATCTTCTAACTAAACATTAAAAATAGAATAAAAATCAGTAAGAAAATTAACATTGAAAGTTGATTTTCAAATACTACAATTAGAAAGTTCTAATTGTATATATTTAAAAGCAAAAACACACACATTATTTACATAGATGTAATTAAATAACAAATATAATATATATTAAAAGCTTGCACACAAAAACAAATGATTACACATTCATATACTATACTATATTTTAATTAATTAATTAAATACACACTATGGATTTTACACAACTAGAACAGTTAGAAAATAATACACACAAAATATATTATGCCAGAACTTTAATTACAGATAAAATAATTCATCACATCAGACCAGACACCATATTAACTGGCAAACAAATTCACATATATCATAGATATATTCATTCTAAATTCCTCACATATAAAATATCAACATTGATAAAATCAATAATTACATAGTAATAAGTACTAAAGTATAACAATGAAGTATTTATTGTGTCTGTAATCTTTGTTTATATGGGTGTCATAATACATATATTACCCAAAGATTTGTAAACAATTAGTCTTTAATCACAATATTTATATCACATGCAGAAAAAAGTAATATTAAATACAGGTCACATAGCCAAAAACTTCTCAAACAATGATACATACATTAACAATATACAAACTTGATAAAATAGTCGCTTTTAGTAACAATGTTTTAACTTCAATCTGGCATTGCAGTTGACAACAATATCACGTTTACATTACCACCACAGCAACAATATTATTATTATTAATCCTCATATATATAATAAGAGTTTTTCTACAGAAAACAAGAAACATCATGATTACATAATACAAACTTTTGCAAACAAAAATAGTACACCACTAATCTTATACAATAGTGATCTGGATCTAATGTGATACGCAAAACTCACAAACAGCATCAGGCAATCTTGACTCAGAAGGACCTCCACAGTGAACACCCTAACAATCTCTGCTAGGAACACATTGACAGAACTGCATCAAACTGCTGGCTGACTCATGGATGCCTCTTTGGAGAGACAGAAGGGTTTATAACTGTCATACAAGACCAGGTCATAAATACAAGAAACTACAGAAAGCAAATATTTGCAGATCAAATTGTTGGAAATGCTACATCAAGTATGAAACTACACAACACATTACTGTACTTGAAAGCTTTTAACACAAATTGACTTCTTAAATTGACCTAGCCAAATAACAAATATAATACGGTACATCAAAAGTTTGCATACAAACATAAAATATTACCAACCAGATAATACAACCAGAAACCTGAGCTATAATCACAGACAAAACAATCCATCACAACAGACCAGACATCATACTCATTGACAAACAAAACAAAATCACATACATTATAGATGTAGCTGTACCAAGCACACAACTACAAAATATATGCACTAAAAAATACTCAGAACTCAGCCATGAAATAAAGCATATGTGGAAAATGGATGGGGTATGTATTGTACCAGTAGGCCTTTTTTGAACAGATGTCAGACCACATACACCCACAAAAGTCGGAAAACATTAGGCTTCACAACAAAACACACATCACAATACAGAAATCTGCCATACTAAGCACATATCACTTAGTCAAAATTCTTAAACACAGATGCATATATAAACAGTATTAAATAAAAGATTTGTTTTCTGTAGTTTTGCCTCGACTTTGGATCTGGCATAGTACTAGGAACCAGTAAACTGTATGTGCCATGTAAGATATACTTCATATACTTGCAAATACTTTATATATATATTTTTATAAAACTATAAGAAAGTTAAAGAATTATCATTACCTTTAATTCCAATTGTTCTTTTCTGTTTCTTTCTTCTGAAAGTAAATGTTGAAGTTCCCTTAACATTACTGCATGATCTCGTTGTTCTCGTTCTCTATCTTGTTGTAATTCTCTGATACGCAATTTTAACTAGAATATATATAAAATAAATATTCAAATTAAATATTAGATATGTATTTTTATTCATAAATTAGTATCTTAACAAACTTAATATGAAAAAATTTATTTAAAAATTTTCATTCATAATCAGACATATTGTCAATACTTCTGACCTGAATCATTAAGAAAAATCTGTATTATACAGAATTTCTTATACAGAGAAATGCTGATTATAGCAATTAATGCTGCTAGAAAAAACAGTACAATAATCAATAAGAACAACATATGGGAAACAAGAGACTGTTGCAAAGAGTTTTCCAAAATTATGATTAAAACTTTAAATATTAAATATTTAAACATATTGAAAATCATTTGCACATTCAGGAATAAGTTTTTGCCAAAGTTTTTTGTAGTTACCATAACTTCTCTCCATGATTCATTGATGTTTTCAAGATAATTTTTTATGCTAAAATTTTCTCAAAATTCTATTAAAGATTTTTCCATTCTTTTTTCAATTGCTTGGCTAAAAGTGTTTCATAGATAATACACTTTAAATGTTAAAATCATTCCCTAATCTATAAACTGGAGTAATGAAGTCATATTGGACAGTAAAAAACATAACTATATTGTAAAAAGTTTCCCAGTATGGTTAAGGTAAACTTGAGAGGTATTGTCAACCTTTATAACTATAATATGTGCAGACAATTTAACCCGAACTTTTTTACTTTTTATATTTTTATTTTTATAATATAACATGTTTAACCTCACAAGATTGGAAGTTGTAATACTGACAAATACAGATATACACAAAAGATTGGATTTTATACAGGTCAGACTGATGAAGGGTTATGCCCAAAATGCATAGCTGACAGGAAAACTGGCAACAAGATACTTATAAAAGAGTAACCATCTTAGTCCTCATATGATCAGTTCCAAACAGTAAAGTTACAACTAGTGGATATTACTATTTATCATTGAAAACAACATTAATTTGACATTAAATGCTCCTTTTGAATGTTTATAATAAATGAATTAAACTTTCAAAAAAGACTCATTTCAGTGCCCACACTCCTACATACTCATTCACATTACTCATCCACCCTGATTCCAGGACAAATAATTCTCTCCCCCGTCAACATCCCAGACAATAATTCAATTCAATAAAAATCATTATTAAACTAAGAGTATTAATTTAAAATTTGCTTTATTATCAAGTTTAAGAAAATTTTATAATTGAAAATGAGTTTCTTTTTTAAACATGGTATATATTACCATCATTACAGTATTGTATAATATAGTGCATACCATGGTTATATATTTGCATATAACAACTTATTTCTAGATTAATTCTAGAAAAAGTTACTATATGATAAATTCAATTTATTAATTATCATTTCTGAGATAATATATTTTATATGTATTAAAGATATATCTGGACTTAAAAGAAAAATCTTATTTTTCAAATATTTAAATTGTATCTACCTGTTGAATTTGCTTATTTAACTGTTCTTTTTCTTCACAAAAATCTAGTCTTTGTTTGTCCAGTTTTTCAGAAATTTCAACTTTTTCTTGCTAATAAAAAAGTACTTTGAAAATGACTGAAACTATAAATAAAATTTTTGATTTTTCATAGTTACCATTAAACTTTTTCTGTCTGCTATAAAACTAGCTTCAATGCGAGATTTTTCTGCTGTAAGAGTAGCTAAAGAAGTACTTAAAGTTTTAATTTGATGATGTAAATCATTAAAATATTCTTCATTTGACTGAATGGCCTGAAAAATTTTAACAAAATTTATTAGTATTTTATTTTATCATTTATAATATAGTTTCAAATTATAAACCTACATCAGATGATTCAGCTTTTGAACTATTTTGATCTGCACTGGCAGAATTTTTTTCTCTTTCTGTTTCATTTCTGGAAGATTGATCTGAAGTTAAAACTTTTAAACTGGATTCCAAAGCTTCCTTTTCAGATAGCAATCCTTTATATGCCCTAACAGTATCTAAAATAATTTTAAAGTATAAATTTTTATTCATAATAGACAATACTTTAATAAATGATTAAAATTACAAAATTATTTAAAGTCAGAATTAACTTTAATCAAGAAAAATAATATGCATAAAAAGATAAGAAAAAAATATATTTATAAATAATTCAATTCATCTTCTCTGCCCTTCGGATTCCCCCTAAATCCAGTAAATATAATTAGTGATAATACAATATTAGATTATTACAACACTATAAATGAACAATCTTCTATAAAAATTTACAGGCTATACATAAACAAACAGTAAACTTATTAGAATAGCAGAAACAGAACTGAAAGTTGAAGCGGATTAACCAATGTTCTACTCTTGGCATAATATAAAAATAAAGTCTATGGATTTTTTGTTGCTTAATTTATGTAAAAAGAAATTGATGTATTGATGAATAAGAACTTGTTTTATTTAAAGAAAACCCCATGTGTAAGACTCAGATTTGCACTACTCTTTCAATGCTTCAAACTAACTACACAATGATGATAATTGCTATAAGTTTGTCAAATTTTTGTCAAGTGTATTTAATTCACTAATTATTTATTTATTTGAAATTTAATTGTTTTTTTTTTTTGGCATAATAACGCTGGAACAATTCTTTTTCAAAGAAAACAAAAAACTGTTCAGATATTTTGCTTAATGTTTAAAAAATCTGTTTATTTTCATAATCATTCCATAATTTTTCTAATTTCATTAATTAAATTAATGGTAACCAGTAGGAATCATCTTATTCCTTTGGCCATTATGGAAAATAATAAATAATTTCAATTGTCATTTATCATAGACACAGTTGTCTATGTATGCCATGTAATTATATGCTACAGCAGAAGTTTGTTAATTCAGCAATCTATAAAAAGTAGCTGATAATCCAAAACTGTCCAATAATAATCCGGCATGCTAGTACAGTGGAACCTCGGTATACGACCTTAATCCGTTCCTGGTGTTTGGACTTATACCGAATTGGACGTATATCAAATCAACCTTTTCCATAAGAAGTAATGTAAAAATGATTAATCCGTTCTCGTGTAAAAAAATGGCTGGCTTTAAACACCTCGCTTTCCTGGCTAGTTCCTGCTTGATTTTTCGTGAGACCAGCGTGTATCTTTTTAGCTTTCTCGCAAATAATTGCTTCCGATACGCTGTCTCCAGCACATTGTTTTTCAGTTATCCAAAGCAAAAGCATTTTCTCAACATGATCTAATGTCTTCGATCTCTGTTTAGAAATTGATTTAACCCCTTTCACAATGTTAGCAGATTTAATAATGTCTTTATTTTTCGCGAATGTCCATATCGTCGTTCTCGGAATACAGTTGGCAACAGTTAAAATCTCGAACATGTGTGCCACCTTCGTATTTCTCAACAATCTCTTTCATCAGTTCCATTGTAATTCTAGTCATTTTTTTTACTTTACTGTCGCTTTTCATTTGCCTTTTTGCGATTCGTGATTAATAAAAATAATAAAATTTTACTTACGAATTAAAATCAGAAGAAATTTAACAAAGTTATAAACTGCTGCACCGCGAACGTCTAGTCTGGTCTAGTACACTGATAGTGCTACTTGTTCATTGATGGCGCGTATAATTGAATTATGTTGTATACTGAACAAAAGTCGTATACTGAGCAAAATTTGTTTCATCCAAACAGGACATATTCCGAATTGGACATATTCTAAAGCAGACGTATACCGAGGTACCACTGTATTCCACAAATTGAAATTTTAGACATATGATGTGCTAAAGATGCTAGGAGAAAAATTAAGGCAGAAGTGGGGAATGTACGAAGGTATTTATTAAATAAGGTCCATTTTTTGATAAGAAGAAAAATACTGTAAATATCGTTAAAATATATTTTTTCCCATATTCTACATACAGTCGACCCCCCTATAAGATATAGATACGTTCCAATTTATTAGGAATCCGATTTCTTACAAGTCGTTCCAATCACAGCCTGACACGTGTCAAGTTTACGGACTACGGCTGATTGAAAGGTTTTCCTCCATAAAATTAATCGATTCTACACTAATCCGACTCAACATTTCCAAAATACGTATATTTTTTCGTAGTTTTATAGGAATCGTAATTATAGGGGGGTCGACTGTACTTTTATCTACTTTTCTACATAATTTCCATTTTTGTTCAAACATTTGTCATACCACTCAAAAATTTTTTAAATTTTGACTTCAAAGAAATCTGCCACCTGCCACCGGAAAATATTAGGCCACGCCACTTGTCTTGTATGGCACAGCGGAGTTTTCTCAAGGTCACACAATAAGCATCAGAATTGATTGTTGTGCCTCTTGGAATAAAATCCACTAACAAAGTCCCTTTCCTGTCCCAAAAGACAGTTACCATGATTTTTCATGCTGAAATCAAATAACAGATCGTACAGTCAGCGGGTGACTCAATTTTCTTAAACATTATAAACTTCTACAGCTCAGCACACAGACAGACGATATTGCTGCAAATGGCATCTAAACACACGCAAAGCATGTTGAAAGCAGATGCTCATGCTCACTGCTGCAATTGCACGTCATTCTCACTCTCATCCACAAACGGACCTTATTTAAAAAATAGCCTTCGTAGATATGTATTATATGTTGCTACATGTCAGGATGTCAACTGTGAAATCAATAAAAACCTCATTTTGTTACAAAACCTTGTTTGTGTTAGGTCAAACACTTTCATTGGTGCCTTCCTATGCCTAATACATGTTTATGCTCAATTGTCAAAAAAGTTAGTGCAAACATTTTTCAGTATCAAACCTGATGTTCACAGGTTTCAGAAAGAATTTAATCCTATGTGCACAAAAAGAAAGCTTCTATTCACTGCAATGTCAGTCATTTAAGAGTTTCTTTTAAATTACTTGCAAGTTGTTAGTGAACTATGTGCAACTAAGAAAATATAACCAGACAACTGAAAAAAAGGTTATAAACAAACAGAAAATTATAAACAATTTTGACATTGAATCATTGAGAATCTATTAAAAAAAATAATAAAAATAGAAAAAAAATAAAAAACATAATACATGTTATAATTCATAGCTGAAAGTGAAGCATCTACTAAATATTTGAAGGCAAAGCTGCATCTAAGACAACCAAACATGATTGAATTAGACAGCTTTGTACAAATGGTTTAATATAAAATGGTTTGAAGAAATACCAATTACTGGCACAATGAAAAAGCAAAACAGTTTCATATCAAAATAAGCATTACTGAGGCATGTTTTTTCTCCAATGGTTGGCTTTAAAGATTCAAACAGTAATACAGCATTCAAAATAAATTAGATACCTGTAGAGAAAAATCTGCTGATCATAGTGGTTCAAAGGAATATTGCAATGTTTTTGAGGAGTTGAGAGTGTAATGATTTATTGTTCTCTCAGGTATACAATGTTAATAAAACTGGGTTATTGAGGTGTTGCCTACCAAAGTCCACCTTAGCTAGAAATAACGAAAAATCTGCTAAAGGATTTAAACAAAATTAGAACAGAATTACAGTGCTTTGTGTTCAAATACTTGTGGTACACGTAGACTTAAACTTTTGATTATAGGAAAGACTAAGCCAAGGGGAGGGATTTCAAAACTTGACAAGCTTGACAGTATGCTTGGATTACAGCTTCAAAAACTGGGTTTTCCATATTTTTGTTCCTTCCATCAAAGAGAGTTTGAAAAGGCCTTTTCCAAGACAGCAGTCATTTTTCCTGTTTGTAAGCTTGTATGTGAAAATATATTTCCAGGTTATAATTAAATCAATAATTTTCCCACTTTAAAATTTAAATACAATATAATTCTTAATAAATGTTTATTTTATTTCTTAAATACAACTTACTTTAATTGGTGATTATTAATAAGATAATCCATATTATTATTTATAACAATAATAATTACATGTAATAAATTATAACAAAATAATTCTTACCACTTAATCGACTTTTATATCGATTTAACTTTATATCTTGTTCTTCTATTATTGAAATTAATTCAGCTTTATTATATTTTTCCATTCTGAATTTCTTTATTTCTAAACAAAATGTAATTCAATTCTTAATACATAATTATAAATATTTACTACCATTTATTATTTATTACATTTCTAAACTATAAATAAATATAACTTACTTTATTATATAAAAAATTATATATTTTTAAGTGACAAACTATTTGTAATATAAACAGCCATATATTAGCATTTAAATTTAATAAGTTGAGAAATTAATAACAAAACTCAATTAAAAATATATTAATTGTTAGTAGTAGTAAATAGAAGTTTATATAGAAATCTACTTAATTTATTCATAACATTTCCATCATCAAAAAGCATGTAATTAAATATTATATTTGCTTCTTCAAAGTTAATAATGCATATTTTTATTTCCACAACCCACAGGTTTTTTACGTGTAAAATTGAAGTGTAAATGATTTAAGCTTTGACATTAAGATATGATTTTATTTTAAAAATTTATTAAAAATCTGTTTTGTTGTATTGAAAGTAAGTGTATATGAATTTATATACACACATACTTAAAGAGATGTGAAGAGCTAGTATAGAGCCTGAAATCAGGCCCCTTTTTGCTTTTGCCACTTTTTTTAACAAATGAAAATCAAATAAGTAGAATGTTTCTTTATTAATAAATAGCAGTCTTGAAGATTTTATTTTTCTTTAGTAAAAATAACATCAATTTATAGGAGTAGGAATAAATTCGGATAAAGTGCCATGTTATGTAAATCCATGCTACATGAAACAAAAGACTAATGCAAAACATGGGGTTACGTTCCAGAAGTTAACAAAAGTATACTATTCTTTTTTGTTACTAAAAGAAATATGTTAATTAAAGCAATCAATAATTTATTTCCAATCCATAATTAACTAACAAGCACAATTAAAAGTATTGTTAATATTAATTTTAGTTAAACGAGATGTTTTCTTTTTTCAAAGTATCATCGTCATCTCAGCTTTTTTGTTGATCTTGATCAGAAATATCAGCAACATCTTCATTTTTTTTTAATTTTTATCATAATTTCCTATGGATAACAAAATAAAAATATGTTATTAATTGATAATTTGTTCTAGCAGATCATGTTTATTTAGTTGAGTACCAAGAGACTTTTTTTCAGAATTTGTGCTCGAATACCAAATCGTTCCAGTTCGAAACAGTTCAAGTACAACCATATTTCATTCTCAGTTTTACTAATGGTTACTTAATTACATTTAAAAAAGGTTAATAACATTTACCTAAAAATGTTTAAACAAACTTTACTAAATATGAAGATTAATCTATAAAAACGAAACACAGTGAAAGTCTTAGAGGATAAAGTCTGAAAGCAATGACGATGACACCCAGTCAATAGGAAACCTAGGACAAGAAAGAAAAAATTCTACTATCAGTTTTCATTAAAGTAAACCTGACAAAAGGCACAAAACAAATTGAAAATTTCAATATTCTAAAATCCACTGGCAAATTTGAGACAACACGTGTGCTTACTCGAATAAAAAAATTATCAAATAACGAAGTTTACACTTAAAAATTATGAAGTTTGTACAGAGCATTTCCAAAACCACATTAGAGTAAAACTGAAAGTTGCATGGTACAGGGACATCCCCAATTTTCAAACCACGTGGTAAAAGTACCATGTGGTACAAGGGATACCAGTAATTACACCTTCTTCAAAAAAATATTTAAGCATTATGAGAAAGTAACTATTTTAAGTCAATTTTCCAAATAACTAGTCCAATGGGAAAATTTTAAGAATTATCAAGAGAAAAACATTTCAGAGTTTTACAGTAGAATTTAATGGAGAATACAGTACTTAATTAAAAAGATTACATTTACTCAATAACAAAATGGAGATTTTTATCCTTGCATTTATTTCATGCTAACAGATTGATTTCTACTTACAGTATACATTTATAGTTGCAAAAAGTATCATGTTAGTAAACTATAATATAATAATAATTATAATTTATAAATATAATACAACTTTATTAAAACTTAATAATCCAAATTAATACTGTTAATTAATTAACACACATTGCAAAGTAAATAAAACTAAAGAATAATACATAAGAATATTATATCAGTTTAGAAAAATTAACCTTAAGCTAAATAATAAAATTAAAGAAATCGATTCACCTATATTTTCATATTTTTCATATTTTTTTTCCTCTGTACATCAGTATATTTGTTTAGCTTTGAAAAGAATTCACTTTCGGCGACATTCGCCATATTCACGTCAACTTCTGTTGAAAGGAAAATCTACTAAAAAAATAAACAAATAAATAAAATAAAATAAAAATTTTCATCACAACTATATTTATAAATGACTTTGATTTTTAAACGAATATAAATATAACAGAATCGAATGCCATCGTTATACAGGATGGTGATAATACCGAGGTTGCGACCGAAGTTTTCAACGCGAACACGGTTCACGTTTTCGCGTTGAAAACTTCGGCCGCAACCTCGCTAATTAAACAAGTGTTTAGAGTTCTGTATAGAAAGAACTATTGGATCAAATTCAACCGAATTTGGTCCGCGTACTTTCCGGATTACGGGATTTCGATTTGGCAAATATAAAGTTCGGTTCCAAAATCTCCCAATTGGGAAAATTTAGCGCTAATGTCGCTATAATTTATACATTAAGTAAGTTGTCAAATAAATTTACGCAACACAGAGAAATTGAGATGCAAAGCTAATTAAAGTGACCAAACGTCCCACTTTTGGCGGGATAGTCCCGATTTTTTACAATTTGTCCCGCGTCTCGCGGCATTTTAAAAAAGTTCAAAGTTTTGGAAAGGTTAAGTTTTTTGTCAATTATGTGTCATAAACTTATGTCTTATGTTTAAGATTCGTAAAGATGATTTTGATTCACTGGTATCAGTACCAAAGTGTGCGTGAGCGTCGGAAATAAAAAATGTTGCGCCGACAAAACTCTTTGTGTTCGTGACAAAGACCGACAGAAAATGGTTTGGGGCGCGCAGCTGCAGCAATGGAGCAGCGTGTTCACAAGCTGTCCAAACGAGCGAAGATTTTGTTCGTTGCATGTTATATGGCGCAGAATACGGTGAAGAATATAAAAACTGTAGAATACGCGCTGTCCTTACCAAGAACTAATGCCGCGACTGAACGCGTTTTTTCTACCATAAATAAAGTGTAGACAGACATCTGCTAAATCACAATTAAGAGTTGAGACTTTGAAAGCCATATTATGTGTGAAATATAATTTAATAAATTATTGCAAAAATTTTCTTGGCGTTTTAAACAACGACAACAATCTACTAAAACAAAATTCACTCAAATGAGAAATATGCGAATGATAAAGAATTCTTAAAGATTTATAATAGTACAGTATATATATATATATATTTATTATATTTGTAAATTTTACATATGTTGAAATTTAAAAAAAAAATATAATACAATACAATTTTTGCGTTCTTTAATATTAAAATTTTATTGCTCTAGAACATTTTTTTTTTCAACAAGACAATGGCAATCTCCTCGTCATTTTTGTCCCGCTTCACCAATGTTAAAATCTGGTTACCTTAGACAAAGTACAATGATTTTATTGCAATTTATCAGGTTGTAAAGAATTTAGATATTTTGAAAAAAAAACTTTATTGACAATTAACAATCATTGTGCCGCTCACTTGCCAATCGATTAACTCCATAAAACAAAAAGTGGAGAAAAGTGACAAAGTAATATACAGTACATTCTTTTTTAAAATTTCTTTTAAAATATAAATTCAAATAAACATTGTAGAATATATTATCACCATCCTGTATAACGGTATTATCACCATCCTGTATAACGATGGCATTCGATTCTGTTATATTTATATTCGTTTAAAAATCAAAGTCATTTATAAATATAGTTGTGATGAAAATTTTTATTTTATTTTATTTATTTGTTTATTTTTTTAGTAGATTTTCCTTTCAACAGAAGTTGACGTGAACATGGCGAATGTCGCCGAAAGTGAATTCTTTTCAAAGCTAAACAAATATACTGATGTACAGAGGAAAAAAAATATGAAAAATATGAAAATATAGGTGAATCGATTTCTTTAATTTTATTATTTAGCTTAAGGTTAATTTTTCTAAACTGATATAATATTCTTATGTATTATTCTTTAGTTTTATTTACTTTGCAATGTGTGTTAATTAATTAACAGTATTAATTTGGATTATTAAGTTTTAATAAAGTTGTATTATATTTATAAATTATAATTATTATTATATTATAGTTTACTAACATGATACTTTTTGCAACTATAAATGTATACTGTAAGTAGAAATCAATCTGTTAGCATGAAATAAATGCAAGGATAAAAATCTCCATTTTGTTATTGAGTAAATGTAATCTTTTTAATTAAGTACTGTATTCTCCATTAAATTCTACTGTAAAACTCTGAAATGTTTTTCTCTTGATAATTCTTAAAATTTTCCCATTGGACTAGTTATTTGGAAAATTGACTTAAAATAGTTACTTTCTCATAATGCTTAAATATTTTTTTGAAGAAGGTGTAATTACTGGTATCCCTTGTACCACATGGTACTTTTACCACGTGGTTTGAAAATTGGGGATGTCCCTGTACCATGCAACTTTCAGTTTTACTCTAATGTGGTTTTGGAAATGCTCTGTACAAACTTCATAATTTTTAAGTGTAAACTTCGTTATTTGATAATTTTTTTATTCGAGTAAGCACACGTGTTGTCTCAAATTTGCCAGTGGATTTTAGAATATTGAAATTTTCAATTTGTTTTGTGCCTTTTGTCAGGTTTACTTTAATGAAAACTGATAGTAGAATTTTTTCTTTCTTGTCCTAGGTTTCCTATTGACTGGGTGTCATCGTCATTGCTTTCAGACTTTATCCTCTAAGACTTTCACTGTGTTTCGTTTTTATAGATTAATCTTCATATGGTTAGGAATGTAATTATCAACTAACTGTACCTTAATTAAATTGTTCACCTCAAAATAACTGGTTTTTTTATTATTTATTGTTTTAGTTTGGTTATGCTTATTCTATTGGTTTAATTTAAACGTATGTTCTAATTTGGTTTAATTTTGAACGTGTTCGATTTTGTATTAGAGTCGAACAACGGTAACCTGAAGATGGCCCATAAATTGGGCCGAAAACGTTAGTTTTGTGTAATCAATATATGTTTCTCAGCAATAAGGTGTGTTGGATGTATCTGGTATATTACTTACGTATTTGTTATTTGCACAAGAAGTCAGAACAAATCCGTTACCTG